TAAGGGAATATCAGCCTTAAATGGCATATTAGATCGAATGGACATAATAGGCATTTACAGAGCCTTTCATACCAGAACACCAGATTATACATTCTTCACTAGTGCCCATGGAACATTCTCAAGGATAGACCATATATTGGAATACAAAACTAGTGTCAAAAAATTTAAGATTGAAATCATACCAGGTATATTTGACCACAGTACTTTGAAATTGGAAATCAACTGCAAAAAGTGAGGAAAATCCACATATACGTAGAAATCGAACAGCACGCTACTAAAGAACAACTAGGTCAAAGAAAAATAAAAGGAGAGATCAAAAGATAGAGACAAATGAGAATGACAGTATGACATATCAAAACTTTCGGGATGCAGCAAAAGTCTAATAAGAGGGAAGTTTATATCATATGCCTGTATCAAGAAATAAGAAAAATGCTGAATAAATAACATTACATCTTAACTAGAAAAAGAACAAATGAAACCCCAAATCAGCAAAAGGAAAGAAATAATAAAAATTAGAGCAGAACTAAATGAAATAAGAGAACAAAAGGACAATAGAAAAAATCAATGCAACAAAGAGCTAGTTCTTTGAACAGATTGATAAAAATCAACAAGCCCCTGGCTATCCTTACTAAGGAGAAAAGAAAAAAACTCAAAATCAGAAACAAAAGATAAGTTATAACTGATATCACAGAAATACAAAGAATCATACAAGTATACTATGAAAGACTATATGCCACCAAATTCAGTAACCTAGAAGAAATGGACAAGTTCTTGGAAATATATAATCTTACTAGACTGAATCATAAAAAACTAGAAAATCTAAATAGACCGATCAACAGTAAGAAAATGGAAACAATCATCAAAAACCTCCCAAGAAGTCCAGAACGAGAAGGCTTTACTAGTGAATTCTACCACATTCAAAGATGATTTAATACTTGTCCTCAAACTTTCAAAAAATTGAAGAAGAGGCAATACTTCCTAACTTATTTTATGAGGCCAACATTACCTAATACCAAAACCTAACAAAGATAACACAAAGAAAACTACAGACTACTACCTCTGATGAATACAGGTGTAAAAATCCTAAACAAAATACCAGAAAATTGAATACAATAACACATTAAAAAGATTATACGTTATAATCAAGTAGGGTTCTTTCCAGGAGTGCAAGGAGGATTCAACATATGCAAATTGATCAATGTGATACACCACATAAATGACGGATAAAAATTGTATGATTATATCAATAGATTCAGAAAAAGCATTTTATAAAACATCTATGATTAAAACAGTTAATAAGATGGGTATAGAAGGAAAGTACCTCCATATAATAAAGGCCATATATGACAAACCCTCAGCTAATATCATAGTTAATAGTGAAAAACTGAAAGGTTTTCTTCAAAGATCAGGAAGAAGACAAAGATGTCTTTTCTCTTACTCAACACAGCATTGGAAGTCCTAGCCACAGCACTCAGGCAAGAGAAAGAAATAAAAGGCATCCAGATTGGGAATGAAGAAGTAAAATTGTCACATTTTGCAGACAACATGATTTTTTATATAGAAAACCCTACAGACTCCAGCAAAAAACAAAAACAAAAACTATTAGAAACAAGCAGATACAGTAAAGCAGGATACAAAATAAATGTAAATAATTCCTGTGTTCCTATATACTAATGATGGAATTTTGGAAAAAAATGAAAAATATTTTCTTTATAATTGCAACAAACAATAAAATACCTTGGAATAAACTTAACAAATGATGTGACGGACCTATACACTGAAAACTACAAGACATTATTAAAAGAAATGGAAGACACAGAGAAATGGAAAGATATTGTGTGATTGTGGATTGGAAGAATTAACACTTAAAATGGCCATATTACCCAAAGCAATATGCAGATTTAATGCAATCCCCATCAAAATCCCAATGGTGTTTTTTAAAGAAATAGAACAAAAAATCATCAGATCTGTATGGAACTACGAAATACCCTGAAGAGCCAAAGCAATCCTGAGAAAAAAACAAAGCCGGAGGTATCACACTCTCTGACTTCAAATTATACTACAAAACGACAATAATCAAAACAGCATCGTTTTGGCAGAAAAACATACATAGACCAATGGAACAGAATCGAGACCCCAGAAATAAACCCACATATACATGGGCAAACCATTTCGACAAAAGAGCCAAAAACATACAATGAGGAAAAGAAAGCCTTTTTCAGTACATCGTGTTGGGAAAATTGGAAAGCCACATGGAAAAGAATGAAACTGGACTGTTATTTGTCACCATACACAAAAATTAATTCAAAATAGATCAAAGACCTAAATATAAGACCTGAAACAAAATGCTTAGAAAAAAACATAGGTACTGAACATGTGGACCTTGGTCTTAGAGAGGATTTTATAAATTTGACCTCAAAGGCAAGGGAGGTAAAAGCAAAAATAAATATATGCCAAACTATCTCCATAGCAAAGAAAACTATAAACAAAACAAAGAAGGAACCAATTGAGTAGAAGATATTTGGAAACAAAACCTGTGATAAAGGGCTAATATCCAAAATATATAAAGAACTCATACAATTCGACAAGAAAATAATCCAATTAAAAAATGGGCAGAGGACCTGAACAGACAGTATTCCCAGGAAAACATACAAATGGCCAATGGATATATGAAAAGATGCTCAACTTCACTAGCTATTAGGTAAATGCAAATCAAAACCACAGTGAGGTTGTGGGGGGAAAAGGAATCCTCATACACTGCTGGTGAGAATGTAAGTTCATACAGCCACTATGGGAAATAGTATGGAGGTTCCTCCAGAAATTAAGAATAGAATTACCATGTGACCCAGCAATCCATCCCCCTTCTGGGTATCTACCTCAAAATTTTGAAAATATTTATTTGTTAAGATATATGTACCCCTATGCTCACTGCAGCATTATTCATGGTGGCCAAGATGTGGGAAAAACGATGTGTCCTTCAAGAGATGATTGGATAAAGATGTGGTTCATATTGGTACACATATACAATGGAATATTACTCAGCCATAAGAAAAGATGAACTACTTTTTTGTGACAGTATGGATGGATCTTGAGAATATACTAAGCAAAACAAAACAGAAAAAGGTCAAGAACCATATGATTTTACTCATATGTGGCATATAAAACTAAAAGAAACAAGACAAAAACTCATAGGCACAAATAATAGTATAATGGTTACTAGAGGGAAAGGTGGGAGGGGGAGGTAGAAAAGGGTAAAGGGGGTCAAATGTATGGTGAAGGAAGTAGATCTGACTTTAGTGAACACACTGCAGTACACTTATGATGTGTTATCGTACACTTGAAACCTATATAATTTTATTAACCACTGTCAACCTAATAAATTTAAAAAACATGTATATTCTATGACTCCTGGATATATACTCAAGATAAATGAGTACATATATCCACCAAAAGCATGTTCAAGAATGTTCATAGAAATTTTATTTATAGTAGTCAAAATGGAAACATTCAAATTTTCATCAGTAGCAGAATGAATAAAATGTAGTGTATTTGTAAAATGGATGACAGCATAACAATGGAAAAGAACTGTGACATGTAATAACATAGTTTAGTCATATAGGTAAAATGTTGAATGACTTCAAAAAAATCCAGATACAGAAGAGTACTGTATGATTTCTTTGCTATGGGTGGGTGGATGGATACAGAATCCTAAATTACCTATAAATATGTAAATATATACTAATGGTTAAAGACAGAAGAGTGGTTCCTTTGCCAGGGTAGAGGAAAGGAGGCACAAGGTAGTAGTTTTCTGGGGTACTGGAGGATGGGAAGTAATGGGAATCATGAGAAGGAATGCCCATAGTAGCAGTGTTAGCTCCCAAATGGAAATAACCAAGATGACCCTTAACAGTAAACTGGGTAAATATAATAAACTATGTAGTATTCATTAGAATATAACATTGCAGCAGTGAATGAACTATACCTATAAGAAGTAACGTGAGTAAGTCTCACAATATTGAGTAAAAGAAAAAAGCCATTTGTAAGAGCATGTACACAATGATTCCATTCATAAGAAATTCAAAAATAGGCAAAACTAAACTATAGCTCTGGAATTGAATGAGTAGGTTGCCTTTTCAGAGGACAGAGGGGGCAGAGATTGAAAGGAGGAGAGAAGGAGCACCTCTAGTTTAGCACTTGCTCTTGATCTATGATGTAATAACACCAGCTTTGCTTTGTGGTTTTACATTTTGCTTTACATTTACATTCTGTGTATTTTTCTGTAAGCCTGTTATACTGCAATAAAAAGAGTTAGAAAACAAATACCTAAAAGGTCTGTAGCTACTAAAGGATATGCAACACTTATAGATGTTTCTCTATAAACCAAAAACAACCTGCTTGTAAACTGAAAAAATATTGCTTTTTCATATACTAGTTTTGCATTATACATGGATTTTTCCATAGCAGAAAATTTTCCTTTTGTAAAGTTTAAAAATTTGTTTTCTTTTTTTAATATTTAGGAACACATACTTTCAAGCTGAGACGCTTCCATAATCTATCTTAGCTTTCTGATTCTTTAATTTACTGCTTTCGTAGCTATTTGTCAATTGCAAACGTGCTTTTAAATTTTTTCTTTTAAACATACGGTATCTCCTGTGAAAAGGAAGAGCTCATGATTCCTTATCAGATGACAGACAAACTCACTAGTAAAATTTGACTCCTCCCTTTTTAGATGTTTTTATTTAAAGCAATTTGGTTATTGATACCAGTTTTCTGGTGTGGCATTCATAATAGTTCTGTATGTCACACCGAGGATGTGAGGTAGATCTGTGGTTTATCTGTGCAATTTTCAGTAAGAGTCATATCTACTAATCTTTGTCCCAGCTAGTCACTGAAAACACTCATCTCTAAATATTGTTTTGGTGAGTAAAATATTCATTATATAGTTTTTTTCAAATAAGAAATTATGTATTCACATACTTAAATTGTTTCTCTTTTTCTAGAGAAAATCTCTTCATGAAAACAAATTGAAGAGACTACAGGAAAAAGTAGAAGTCTTGGAAGCAAAGAGAGAAGAATTGGAAACAGAAAATCAGGTGTTAAATAGGTAATATATTTGTATGCATATATACCCCATATAGTTATTTTGATATTATAGAACTGTTCCGTTTTTCTTTTAAAATCTACATTGTAAAAAATTCTAAAACTATTCATTATATTCCTAATTCATTCTTTTTATTATTTTTTTCTGACTGAATGTTCCTTCAAACAAAAAGGTCTCTAACACATGCCAGTGTTCGTGTTGCGGTCAGGACTGACAGGAAAGGTCAGTCACTGGCTTTGGTAGCCAGTTGTGGGAATTCATGCTACTTTGACAAGACAGTTGTAATGATTGCATAGTTCTAAAATTGTGGCTACAACTTTGACTCAAAGACCAGTTTTTTATTTGGTGGGAGAAAATATTACTTATTATTTCTGGTTTTTCATTTACATCCAAGCACAGCTAAAAATCTGCATCATTAACATTTTCCAGTAGGGAAGATTTACCATATTAATTTAATAGTAGTGGCATTGTATTACACATTTGATTCAAGTTAATAAAAAAAACCTTTCCAAATTCAGCTAATTAGTGGTAGCCTTCAGCAGTTAGACAGTATTAGACTTTTCTGTAATAATATCTTTTCTGTACCTATAATATCAAGCAGTAATGTTTTATAATGTGCACTGGTTTTCTTGGTTGTAATCATTACCACAATGTGAACAGTTGTTGTTTTTAAAACAACCAAGAGGTTTCTAGACTGTGGAACTACTGCCAACTTTATAATGCACTGTTCCAAAATAAGATGCCACCAAATACACTCAAAAACAAAATTCAACTTACTACTTCTTTCGTAACCATTAATTTTGAAATGTTATCAATTCAAAATTGGGCAGCTATGGCACCAATCACCTAGAACTTTGGTTTTGAAACTATGCTTGATTACTGCTGTGATTGATTGTCAGGAAATTCGTGTCCAAAAAGGTAATCTTTGAAGGCCTGAAAGGTTAGCTTTTTTTATCCATGTCATTTTTCCCTAAAGTTGGGACTTCACCTATGTTATTAGCTACATTTTTAAAAATCAGGTTGAACAATATGAAATTCCCTATATTTGACCCATATTTCACCTAAAAAAATGGCCATTTCATAAGATTCAATCCAGTGTTTTCTGTATTTGATTCCTTCTGTAAAACAAGGCACCTTTTGGGTTAAGTTGTTTCTTAGTTTCAGGATTCATGGGTTGGGGGAGTGGAGTGGAAATGAAAAAGTATCAAGGCTTGATTTTTAAATCTTTGATTAAGTGGCAAATAAAACTTTAAAATGACTTGATAGTCTGCAGTGCTAACAATATATATGATTAAGGTATCATGTTATATTTATCTTTCTTGATAAACAATTTTATATACGTTATATACAGATAAACCTTATAGAAATTCTCTTCCTGTTTAAAATTCTGTGAATCATACTGTTCTTGAATAGACTACAACTGTTTTAAAGAACTGTGTAACTGTTTTAAAGAAATATTTTTTCTTTTTAAGACAACATGTTCCATTTGAAGACTATACAAGGCTTCAAAAAAGACTAAAGGATATACAGAGGAGACATAATGAATTTCGAAGTTTAATTTTGGTTCCTAACATACCTCCAACATCATCCATCAATCCTGTTAGTTTTCAGTCATCAACCATGGTTCCAGGCATGGAACTAGCCTTTCCTCCTCATATGCAGGTATGAGTATTTATTTTAAGGGGAAAAAAAGGCAAACTTTTCTATAAGTTTTTGTCTATTTAAATACAGAGTTAAAAACTCAAATCTTTCTTTACCAGAGAAATTTGCTGAGAAGCAAAGAGGATTTGAATCCATTCTAGCCTTTAGTGATGGTTCTTGGAGTATAATCTCTTCTCGGGCAATCGAAAAGAAGGAATTTGATGACTGTTTGAGTAATCTAGAGTTTGTAGCTCACTCATATAACACTAACTACTATGAAGCATTTACTAATGCACTGCACTATGCATTTTCCATGCAATATTTTATTTAATCCTAATGAAAAATACTTTGAAGGCAGGTGTTATTATTTCCAATTTCAACCTACATTGTCTGATTCCAAAACCTGGGCTAATTCTACTGTATTAGGTCTCCAAGATATTGAATCAAATTGATGGGATGATTTTCAGAAGGTTGAACTATTAATAAGTAATTTCATTAATAAACTATTAAACTCCAATCTTGTTAGAAAGTTGTCATATAAGTACATATAGGCCCCGCATTAATATTTTCTAATTCACTCCCTGGTTAATTTTACACCTAGAGAAGGGTAGAAGTGGGGTTTTGTTTAAGGCTAGAGCTTGAGGCAGGAGAGAAGCAAGGTCTAGTTAGTAGTCTAGGCCACGCTGCTGTGTTCTTAGACTGCGAAAATGGTCGTTCTTTCCTTGCCGGATGTTGCAGGCCTAGATAAAAAGAGGACTGAGGCTGCTGCCTAAGTTATTTTTCCACTAATTTATCTTAACAGTCTTTTTCTGAGCCTTTTGGGTTTTTTTCCTCCTTTTTCTGTGCTTTTAAGGAGGAACAACATCAAAGAGAACTCTCTCTACTTCGTAAAAGACTAGAAGAACTAGAAACAACACAAAGAAAACAACTAGAGGAACTTGGATCTCCTGGAGAATGATGTTTTTTTTGGAGAGAAGGTAGATCAAAACGGATGAATCAGTGACTCAGTAAAGCTTGAAGTTTTAACGTACGTGGCATTTACTTTGTTGCTGTTTGCCAAAACACTTGAATTTGCCTCAGGTGCCAGCTACATGCTGTATTGCATACGTGTCAGGATTTTAGGATTATACTAATGACAAGTAAAGCATGAAGACAGCTTCAGAGATATAATATTGACAATTCTTTGAGAATGTAAAAAAATGAATAAATAAAAGGAATTAGAAAATCAAGTTTTAAAATTAATTTTATGTTGAATTGGTTTGGCATTTTGCCTGAAATATACTTGTGTTGATTTCCCTTGTCCTCTTTGACGTGCCTGGCAATAGCGTACCTGGTCAGTAAACATTTTATGGTTTAAATATACTATATATGAGTTATAAACCTCTAGTTCTTGAAAAAAGGTGATAATTTAAAGGTCAGCATAAAAAGTTAAAAGTATCTAAATATGCATTCATTACAAAATGCTACCTTTTCTAAAAGCTGTGTGTAATAATTTATTAAAGAGCCTAATATTTTTCTATCTAGCTGTATTGTCTTGTGTTTATTTCAACCATACAATATGTATTTAGCAATGCAGAAGATCTCACCGATTTTGACATTTGAGTTAGAATTAATAGAAAATAACAAGTGCGAATAATTAAATTCCATGGCTTTATAAAACAGGGGCCATTCATTGTAAAACTTAAACCCAGTGGGGTTCTTTTAGAAGTAGTATTGGTATTTAACTTCGCCTCCCACTGCTTTGGGTCTATTATAAATGTTTTATCTCTGTTTATCCTTAAACATGCCATCATTTGCTTTTTTATATAATGTCATGTTCTAAAGGAATTGTACTGGAATAACTTCACGTCAACAAGGCAGAGCTCAAGTCTGCCAGACCAAGTGGAATGTTCATTATTCAGAAGTCTTCATGATCAAAAGTCCAAGTTCACAGTGGAGGCCAGCAGTGTAATTGAGCAGCCCTTAGCATCATTTAGAAGAAACTAGATTTACTTACAGCTTAATATATGCTGCTTATTCGTTTAGAGTATACAGCGACATTCTGTTCCTGAAAAATAATTTCCATGGAGCCACTTCAAATAAAGTCTGTTATAACTAGAAAATTTGAAAGGAAAAAAAAGGACAAAAACAGTCCATATTTACATCAAAATGTTTATTTTTGGATATAGACGTTTAAAACATTCATCTCCAAGAACAGCTTCAATCAGGTATACAATAAGAAATAGACTTTAAGTCCCTAATACGGTAAAGGTAACAGAATTAATTTTTAAATGCTGCCGTAGACACTAGTGTTAGGAAAAAAAAGTTTATAAATGGTTTTGCACCAAAAAAATAGGCAAAGAAACTTGAAAATAGAAATTGTTTGCCATTTGTTTCTCTAGTTGTTGTTTAATATAGACCCAGTGACTGATTGTCTTCAGCACACATCTATCTAATTTGGCCATTTACTGCATTTGGCTAATGTGATGCAAAATGTAATCTCGATAGTGCTTTTTCACTGGAGGATTGACAAACACGCTACATATATTAGTGAATCTTCACACCACCTCAGTGAGGTAGGATAGAAATATTATAATAAATTGAGGCACAAAGAGGTAAGTGACTTGCCCAAAGTTCCCAGCAGCACAGTCCCTGGACGGGGAGCTAAGTCTCCACACAGGACTCACGTGCCAGAGAGCTGGACAGGGACACCTTCACATAGCATTTACTAAATACTTGGATGAAGCTGTAGCTGATCCTTTGAGTTTTCTTAGCATTACCGTACCCTAAGGAAGGGAAAGTCTTTTGGGCAACTCTCCTACCGTTGGCTCTCACCTCTCCTGTTCTCTTATGAACGCCTTCACATCAAGGCTGTAGCAGCCCTGGATGGGGGCCAGACCTCTTAGCTTTACAGTTGTAAGTAATCTATTTGGTAGTATTTTTGAGCTGTGTCCACTGAATGGACAGTGGTCAAAAGCGATGGGATTGGGAAGGTGCCTATCAGGGCAATAACTGCTTATTTTCTCTGATCAGTTTGTCGAGGTGTCACCTCTCACTCTTTGCCAGATATTGAGGAGGAAAACAAACTATCTAAGACAAATTCACATTTAAGTCCTGATATCCCATACAGTGTTAGTAAATGATTTTAAGGAATGTGTGGTCAGTGTTTTACTTGCTACTTGAAAAAATTTCCTCAGTCTGGGATTTGGAGCACCAAGGGTAAAAGGTGCCACAAGGAAAGTATGAGAGTTGCCAATTTTTACTTCTGACTTACTAGAAGGAAAACACAGTGGTAGTAAAATTGGTCATGAGCAGCAAAAATTCAGGAATAAAAAATTAGCAATAAAAAGACTACAGTGTAACTGGATAGGGAATTCTTTTAAAAGGGCATGAATAAAATGAATATTTTTAATTTTTTCTCTTTGTGAGGAATATTTTCAAAAAGTACATAGACTAAAATACCAAGTTTTATACTAATATTTTTCAGGCCTTGGGCCTCAAATATATATATATTCATATATAATACTCCAGTGTGAACAGCAATTTCATGAAATGTAAAATGTACCTTTTTTTTAAATCACACACTAATATAACCACAGGATTCACCAGAAATCTAAAGCAAGGAGACACTAGTATAGAAATGTACGATTAGGGTAGTGAGTTACTCTTCCACAGATCTGATCAGAGTTTTTAGATAGAAATAAACTAATGATTTTTTAAACAGTAGCCAACATGTCCACTATTAAATACATTTAGTATGAAAAAATAAATTGAAAGGAACATACCCTAAGACAGAGTGTCTGGATAAAATGTTGTTAATTTAAATAAAGCCTACTGGCTCTCCTTGCTTTAGAGCTCCTAAGTGAAATGGAGGTGAGTTTGATGGAGCACAGTTGGTGATCACTGAAAACACACAAGCCCTTTCAACAATGTTGCAACACTGTTAGTTTTTGGTTTAAAAACACACACACTCACAAATGCTAAGTGTACACACTACCAAATTCTGCGGTCAGCTTTTCCAAGAACTACTAGGGAAAGTTTCAATGCTGCAGATCCTCGAGGTTGCCCTAACACCTCCACCTTGTTTCCATGATTCATTTCACATTTTGTTTTGATCATTGGCAATGTCCCTTTTCTGCAGTGGTGCAGTGTAGTCACAAGAGCTACATAGCTGTAGTTTCAAACAAAACCACTTATATCATTGTGCTTAAGTGGAGACTGTAGTTAAAATACTGACTCTTCCTTACTGGCCCTGTATTCTCTGTAAACAAGGAGGCTGTTTGCAACAACCACTTCAACTCTATTTACAGAAGGGTTCCCACAGTATAAACACAGGCACAATAGTTGGTATGCTTATTTAAAAGCTGTGCATGTGCCTTGGTCTCTTAAAAAGACAGTGCTCAAAGTGGAACCTATGTGCAAACTTAAAAAATTAATGACACAATAGCTCAAGCAGCCATTTTGCTCCCAAGTCGTCTGAAGAACTGCCAGATTAAGCCAGGCCCCAGAGTGCTTACATCCACTTGCATTTCTTCTTTTCATCAAATAAGACTTTTACATGCAAGAGTTGTTTCTGAGCTTCTTCCAGCCCTCGTTCTCTTTCTAGTTTATTTAGAATCTGTTGACAATTAGAACAGTTATTTTAGATACTATAATTTTAATATTACAATTGTTTTTATTGGTTTGGGGGTTGGTTTTTTGTTTTTTTTTTTTTTTTTGCATTCCTGATGCTGTGAGTGGGAAAATCTGTATGAAGCAGATGCCAACATTTTCTTCCATCATTTACATACTCACTTTGCAAGTTGTTTTGCTAAGTCATTATCACAGGATCAACAACACTTTGGTTTAAAATAGAAGCTAGCAAGAAATACTGACTATTTGCTTACGAATATGGGGCCAGACTTCCAAGGCCCTGTTTTATGCATTATGTCACAGCCATTCCAAGCACAGCAAGCATTCCTCGGCAGCCAACATGCAGGCAAGAATTTCTTCTTAAATGCAGCAGGCAGGGGCATCTTGGTTGGAGATGAATATTTCCCTTCCCTCCCCTACCATCCTGGACAGTGTAGTCCACCCCCTCCCCTCCATTCCCTTCCCCTCCCCAGTGCTTCCCTTTTGACCCCTGACCCCTGGAAAGAGGGATGCTTATCATGTTTAAGGAACTCATTGCCTCTACCCTACCTTAGCTCTTCACTTGATCTTCAAGTAGCAAATGGAATTAGTGAGCTATTCTCACCATTGACATGGATAGCCTGTCCCAGCATGACTGAGTGGGGGGGAATCAGGGAAGGGGGAATTAACATATATTTGGAAACAGCGCATCTGATGACTGTGTCTGTGTGAATTCCCAAAGAAAAAATCTAGATTAAGGAGAATTAATCATTAAGGAGAATGGTTTATTGAAATAGTTGCTTAAGTTAGAAAAATGTCATACTTTCACATAACTATTGAATACAGAATCTAGGCGATTTAACAAGCTTAGCTTTCATTTTAGTGGATTACAATCAAGCATAAGCTAACCCCATTTAATAGGACCACTACTTACTCATGAAAATTAACTTGAGTCAATGTGGCTGTAGGCCTCATTAACTCAAATGTAAACTCAAGCTGGTCCAAAGGTAGGTAGCATAACACTGGATGAGGGGCAGCAGCCATGTGCAGGGTCTGGCTTGGTGCCAGGATCCCCCATCAGACAGGCTTCCTGGTTATCCCTTTTCTGGCCATTTGGAATGCCAGAGCTGTCCTGAGACCTACAGAATGCTTTATAACCAAATCTTGGTGACCAATTCATGTCAATTGTTAAAAATGTTATGTAAATTCTTACCTCATCAAAATATTTTACGATGTATTTGTAGATTTCTGTCAAGGCCACTTCTTCATTAAATTCATTTTCGTGTTTCTTAAAGAAAGAAAGTCTTGTTGAGAGATTTTTGAAATGACTTTTTTTTTTTAAAAGAAGTAACCAAATATCCCTATTTCTACTTTCCAACGATACCTTAGATTCCTGAGTTAAGAATTCTTCCATTTCTGAAGATGACAATGGAGGCAAATCCCTGATTGCTTTGTAATAAGATTTTACTTCCTCTTTGTAGGTTGGGATATCCTTGGCATAGAGAAGTTTATTAGTTGGTGCTTCCTAAAAAAGAAAAAGCGACCACCACCAAAAGAGTAAAAAACCATGGGGAATTTATAACAGTACCAATGTCGCTGAACCTCCACCACTTTTATCACTTCCTGGTAACCAGGCTTCATGCAGCAGGCTTTCATAAATGTTGTTGACTGAATGACTGACTGCTATTCAGATAGTTCTGGTGAGTCACTGTTATTTTCAGGCAGATTAAATGCTAATATATTCTGCCTTCCTCTCATGGAAGAACTAAAATTATTATTTTTGCGTGATTTTGAGTTACTGTAACAATGGAACTCATTTCAATCATAGTTCATTACTAATGGTTGTAAAAAGCCTGAATTAAAACATTTGCTCTCATCCTCACCCACCAGTGAATTTTGGCATTTATAAAAGATTTGATTGTAGGTCTGATTG